CTCGTAAAAATACATGATCACGCCAGCAACATTCATGCACACCGCAATTGAATTGAACTGCTGTCCTCATCTTGAAAAAAATTTAACATTGAAAGTGTAGTCGCAGTCTTGGATTGATGTGTATCTCATTATCTTGTATTGTATTCATCCGCAATTTCTTTTTTTATAGTTTTATTTATGCAAAAAATGCACTTCAACTCTTTTTTTCCTGATTTAATATCCAATGAAATTGGCAAAAATCAATTTTCCAACGATTTGTTTTCGTTGCATAAACTGACTCTGGGTTGTCTCAGCATATATGAGTCTCAGAGGGCTTTTCAAAATGAAGTACCACTCTGGAGCACTACTCTGAAGTACCAAGGCTTCCAATTTTCCACATGACTACAGGAATGCCGGAAGAATGTTGGAGCGCTTTTAGGTCTACTACACCTTTTAGCTGGACAAATTTGCTAAAAGCCTTAGAGTTTTTAGCAAGTCAAGCACGCCATTACATTTATTTGCTTTTTAGTTGTCTTTTTGTTCTTTTCATTACCAAAAAAAATACTGAGTTCTAGAAGCCGGCAGTTCGCCAGCGTGCAATCAACCGTTAATAGTTTTTAAATTTGAGCAGCGATTCCTGGAATAATTAATCCATGGAAAGGAGGAAAATCGAATATAAGAGGGGCCGGTACTATTTTTCCCAAAAATTTACTATGCCAGCATCGGAATCAGAACCCTCTCCATATTCCTTCTCAGAAAGAGGCAGTCTAGAAGAAACTCGACTGGTGGCAGGCCCAACATCAACCATTCTCCAATAAGGCTGCCGATGGGTTCCTTTTTCAAAGATTTCTTGCAAGCAAGTTAATAAAAGTTTGACCCCCTAGCATGTGCCAGCACGTAATCGGTGTAGTCCACTTGCACTGATAGAACTGACATAGTTATGTCTAGTGCGTAGGTAATTATTAGGAATATCGTGGGCTTTAAATAGAGATCGCGTGCAATATTAGTGATATTTTATCTGCCTTAATGGTACTTCAAGAGAAATATTTGCCTAAATGCCTGAAACAACTGCTAACTTGTTCATCATTGATTCGTATTCAAAACGCTCTCCAGTGGTGTTGCCGAAATGAAGAAAGAAAAAGTAAAGAAAAAGATTATTCAGATTACTTTTCTAGGAATGTGTTTCGGCATCCTAAGTTACAAAGAGCAGTTTTTCCAGTGAAGAAGTTTCTCTCTCTGATAGTAATCACAAATTTTTGTGGTTTTCTTAGTTCCTCTGTGAAAAGCAATAATTGGCCAACGCACGGGGCTGCCCGTGCGAAGATGCGTCTTTTGCATGGTTCCCCGCAGTTTCTGTTGCTACCGGTACCGGTTTTTTCGGCAAATGCTTCTAGCTTAACAAATTAAATTGGCCACCAGGACTGTCAGAAAACACCCCTTTAAAATTCCAACTTTCTAGCTTCCCTGGCACCTGAGTTAGCAACTTACTGGAACAAAATTTTCACGGGCCCTTGCATGTTTACCAAGCATGCCTGAGAGTTGGCTTCGGGCTCAATGAAACTTAGGTGGGCGGGGTATATCCTCTTAAAATTGCATTCCTTTAGTTTCTCAGGTACTTGAGTTATCATTTACAAGAAGAAAAATTTTTGCGGGCTCGCATGTAGGTACCACACTTACCCGGGGGCTGGATTTGAGCCCACTAATACCCACTTGGGCGGGGAATATTACCCCAAGATTTCAGCGTTCTAGCTTCTCAGATCCCTGAGTTATGAACTTACCGGAAAAAAATTTTGGCGGGTTCGTACGGGGGTACCATGCCTACCCGGGGGCTGGATTTGAGACCACTAATAGCCGCTTGGGCAGGGAACACTACCCCAAGATTTAAGCCTTCTAGCTTCTCAGATCCTCGAGTTATGAACTGACCCCAAAAAAACTTTGGCGGGCCCGTTCGCGGGTGCCACGCGGGTTTTGGCGCCAATTTTGGGGATGGGAGCCCGTACGTGTATATAGATTATGTCCCCAAAGTTTCAGCCCTGTAGCTTTTGCCGGTCTCGAGATGAAAAATCGGTA